TTCATTGGACTTTGGACAAAGATGCCAAGACAGTTCAGTGATATTTTCAACAGCTAATATGGGGAAAACTGGATATCCACATACAAAAGAATGAAGTCGGACCCATCCTCCACACCATATATGAAAATTGACTCCAAGTGTATGATAGACCTGAATGTAAGAGCTAAAACTATAATACTCTTAGAAGAAAACAGGAATAAATCTTGGTCTAGGCCAGGGGTCAGCAAACTCATTAGTCAACAGAGCCAAATATCAACAGTACAACAATTGAAATTTCTTTTGAGAGCCAAATTTTTTAAAGTTAAACTTCTTCTAATGCCACTTTTTCAATATAAACTCACCAAGGCCGTGGTATTTTGTGGAAGAGCCACACTCAAGGGGCCAAAGAGCCACATGAGACTTGCGAGCCGCAGTTTGCCAACCATGGGTCTAGGCAATGATTTCTTAGATATGGTACCAAAACCACAAACAATAGAGGTGAAACTTGATAGACAAAATTAACTGCTTTTGTGTTTCCAAAGACACTATTGAAAAGGTAAAAAGACAACTCACAAATGGGAGATAATATTTACAGATCATGTATCTAATATGGAGCTTGCATCTGGAAGATATGAAGAACACTTACCACCTCACCAGTTAAATAACCATGATTTAAATGGGCAAAGAATTTGAATAGGTCTTTTGCTATATACTAGTGTATATAAATAGCCAACAAGCATCTAAAAGATGCTTAACATCATTAAGAAAATACTAATCAAAACTGTAATGAGATACCACTTCACATCTACTAGGGTAGCTGAAATAAAAAAGGCAGACAATAACAGGCGTTGCTGAGGATATGGAGAAATTGGAACCCTCATATGTAGGTGCCGAGATTGTAAAATGCTGTAGGCACTTTAGAAAACAGTTTGAAATTTATTCAAAATAGAATTGCTATACGACCCATCAGTTTCGCATTTAGGTATATACCCAAAAGAAAGAAATCAAAACATATGACCCCACAAAAAACTTATACACAAATGTTTAAGGCATCATTCATTATACCTAATAGCTAAAAAGAGGAAACAATCCAAATGTTTATCAACTGATGAATGAATAAGCAAAATTGTATATCCGTATAATAGAATGTTATTCAGCAATGAAAATGAATGAAGTACAGATAAACACTCCAGATTAACCTTGAAAACAATGCACCAAGTGAAGAAAGGAGCTATTCACATATTATAAAATTCCATTTATATTAATCTCCAGAATAGGTGAATCCATAGAAACACAAAGTAGCCCAACCAGTGTTGCTCAGTGGTAGAGCATTGATCTATGAACCAGGAAGTCGCAGTTCAATTCCCAATCAGGACACAGACCCAGGTTTCAGACTCCATCCCCAGTAGGGGATGGGCAGGAGGCAGCTAGTTAATGATTCTCTCTCATTGCTGATGTTTCTATCTCTCCTCCCTTTCTAAAATCAATTAAAACTATTTTAAAAGAAACAGAAAGTAGATTGATCGTTTTCAGGGGCTAGTGGATATTAGGTTTCTATTGGGGGCATGATGAAATGTTCTAAATGTAGGTGAAGTGATGTTTGCTTCTGTGAATATACTAAAAACCACTGAATTATTATATATACTGTAAAAAGTTAAATATTCTGGTATGTGACTTATACACATACGTATCATATGAGTCATTCATTCCACTTTATTATATTTCTGAAATATGTTTGGAAATATAGGAAGTATATTTGTTTATGTGGATGTTCATAAGAGATTTATTTGTAATAGTGAAAAACTGGAAAACCACCAAATGTCCATCAACATGATATACTACACAGAAACAAAAAGAAATGAATTATTGATTCCATTCAACAATATGGATATCATCATAATAGTTATACTGAATGTTACTGTCTATTGTTTTAAAACCTTTAGCCAAGCTCACACTTAATGGTTAAAAACTAGCTTTCCCACTAACATTTGAAAGAGGCAAGGATGTCCTTCTCACCACTCCTTTTCAACATCAGCCTGGAAATCCTAGCTATTGCAATAAAATAAGAAAAGGAACTAAAAGGTATACAAATTGGGAAGGAAGAAATAAAACTCTCTTTGTTCACAGATGACATGATTGTTTATGTAGAAAATCTAAAAGAATTAACAAAAAAGTTCTGGAACTAATAAGCAATTATAGTACGGTTGCCGATACCATGTTAATATATGAGTCAATCATTTTTCTATATAGCAGCAATTAAAAATTTGAAATTAAAAACAATATCACTCATATGAGCACCTCCAAAAATGAAATACTTAGGTATAAATCTAACAAAATACGTATAAAAATTACCTGAAGAAAGCTTTAGAACTTAGATAAAAGAAATTTTAAAAAAAATTTAAAAATGGAGAGATAGTTCATGATCAAGAAAAGGAAGACTCAATATTATTCAAACTGTCAGTTCTTCCCAACTTAATCTATAGATTCAATGCAAGTTTAATCAAAATTTCAAGTTATTTTGTGGATATTGACAAACTGATTCTAAAGTTTATATGGAGTGGCAAAAGATACAGAATAGTGAACACAAAATTGAAGAACAAAGTTTGAAGACTGACACTACCCAAATTCAAGAATTACTATATCACTACAGTAATCAAGACAGTGTGATATTGATGAAAGAATAGATAAATAGGTCAGTGGAACAGAATAGAGAGCTCCAAAATAGTCCCATATAAATATAGTCAACTTATCTTTGAAAAAGGAGTAAAGGCAATGCAGTAGAGCAAAGATAGATAGTATTTTTAACAAATGGTACTGAAACAATTGGACAGATACAGGCAAAAAATGAATCTAGACACAGACCTTACTCCCTTCACAAAAATTAAGTCAAAATAAACCACAGACCTAAATAATAAAACTATACAACTCCTAGAAAATAATGTAAGAAAAAAACAAGAAGATCTTGGGTATGGTGATGACTTTTTAGATAAAACACGAAAGGTATGATCCATGAAATAAATAATTGATAATCTGGACTTCATTAATATTAAAAGTTTCTACTCTATGAAAGACATTACCAACAAAATGAGAAGACAAGCCACAGGTTGGGAGAAAATAACATGCAAAAGACACATCTGCTAAAGGACTGTTTTACAAAATATACAAAGAACACTTAAAAACTCAACAATAAGAAAACCAACAACTTAATTTAAAATTGAGCCAAAGATCTTAGCTACCTCACCAAAAAAAGATAATGCAGAATATTTTAAAAATGTGAAAAAAAGTTTTAAATGTAATAAAATACCACTACACACCTATTAGAGTGGTCAAAATCCAGAACACTGACATTACCATATGCTTGCAATGATATGGAGCAACAGTAATTCTTACTCATTGCTTGTGGGAAGGCAAAAGGGTACAGTCATTTTGTAAGACATACAAAATGTGATTTTGAAAACTAAATATATTGTTACCATATGGTACAGCAATTCCATTTCTTTGTGTTTATCCAAAGGAACTGAAAATTGTTTGACCATACAAAAACATGAAAATGTTTATTGCAGCTTTATTCATAATTGCCAGATCTTGAAAGATGCCCTTCAGTAAATGAATGAATAAACTGTGGTATAGCCAAAGGAGTGTTATTCAGCCCTAAAAGGAAATTAGCTATCAAGCCATGAAAAGGCATAAAAAAAAAAACTTAAGTGCTTATTACAAAAGAAAAGAAGCCTATCTAAAAAGGGTACATACATTCTAGAAAAAAAAAATCAGTAGATGCCAGTGGTTGAGTGGGGGAAGGATGAATATGCAGATCACTGAGGACTTCTGGGCCAGTGAAACTATTTTGTATGATACTGTAATGATAGCTATATGTCATTATACCTTTTTCCAAACCCAATGTACAATACCAAGAGAGAACCCTGCTGTAAACTGCGTACTTTGAGAGATTATGATGTATCAATGTAGGTTCTTCAATTTTAATAAATGTACCACTGTGGTGGGGAATGCCGCAATAGGAGAAGCTATCCATGTGTGGGGATAGGGTGTATATGGGAAACTCTGAATCTTCCTCTCAGTTTTGTTATAAACCTAAAGCTGATCTAAAAAAATCTTTAAAAATGAAAACAAAAATGAATTACTGATACATTTAACAATATGGATGAATATCAGAATAGTTATGCTGAGTCAAAGAAGCTGGACCAAAAAAAAAAAAGAATATATTCTCTATAATTACATTAATTATTCTCTATAATTAGAAAATGCAACTCAGTGTATAGTGAAAGTAGATCAGTATTTGTCCAGAAACAGGGGTCTGGGAAGGACTAGACAGAAGGATTATAAAGGGACATGAAAGGACATGTCCATGTTCATCATCTTGATTGTGGTGATGATTTCAAAGGTGTATATATATATATATATATATATATATATATATATATATATATATGGCGTCATGGATGTATCCATATGTCAAGATTTACCAAAGTGTATATTTTATATGAATCATAAAATTAAAATTATTTTTAAAGATATAAATTGATTTATATATCAATGTCAAAATAAGAAAAAAATTGATCCCCTCTCCCCCATAGTTAGTCTGTGTGCTGGGTTTACAAAGCAACATACATCACTTCATGAAGAGACACTTAGTATATAATAGGTAAATTGTATAGTTTCTAAAAAGAAAACATGAGTACCTAGAGAATTAGGGAGTTGGAGAAGATAGGATGAGAGTATTAAGTAAGGACCATTTGAGGCACTCTTATCTTTTTCTTACTAGTGTGAGTCAATATTTTGATGCTTCAGTGGAAAGTAATTTTTTCCCCTTTTTCTTACCTTCCAGTGTTTCTTTTGCATGTAAATCTTCCTACGTATTAGGGAATAATTCACAGTGGTTTGTCCCTGGTCAAGCTGTAACCACTTTGAGTCCAAGGCATAAATTTTCAGATTCCATCTAATATCCTTACTGAAAATGCCACTTAACCTTAGTCTGCCTAATCCCCATGGCTTGTTCTCCTCAGTCCTACACACCTCCAAGCAACGAGTTCAAGATCAGCATGAAATTAGAGGCACAGGATCCCAGGAATACCACATCTACCTGTATTGCTACAGTAGTGGGACTAACAGGAGCTCGCCTCCGCCTTCGCCTTGATGGCAGCGACAACAAGAATGACTTCTGGCGGCTGGTTGACTCAACTGAAATCCAGCCTATTGGGAACTGTGAGAAGAATGGGGGTATGCTGCAGCCCCCTCTGGGTGAGTAATTAGACCCAAGTCCTCTTTAACCAATTTATCTTCCCAAAATTGTACATCCCATTATGGGAAAGCTTAGGGTCCCCTGCCTGCCTCTTTTTCATATGGTTTAAAAGAAAAGGCCCACCCAAAGTAAAATGAGCTGTAAAATCTGGACATCTCCATCTCTACCTTAACTTATAATATTTAACCATCTCTCAAACTCTTTTTTTTCTAACAAAAGCCATACCCTTCATCCTTCTTTGTCAGTTCCCATTTACCCTGATGGACAGAATGGAAGGAAGTCTTGCCATTTAATATGCTTCAAAAACCATAGAGCTTTTAACAAATTCTACAATAATAAGAAGTCAGAGGGTAACCTCCCAATAGAAAGGATGACCATAAGAAGAGTCCCTTATCTCCTTTCCCCTAAATTCTCAGTTGGTCCTGGGATTTTCTCACTTTTAATTAATTATTCAGTAAAATGTATTATTTTACTTAAACTGATTTTTACTTAAACCTCACTAGATTTTTCTCCTTAAGATCAGATTCATCTTTTTCTTCTTTTGCCTTTATATGCATGACAGATTTAGCCCATCTTTTCAGTTATTATAAATTATTATTGTAGTGAGTCTCAATGGAGGATAGAGAGGGCTATGGGTTATATAAGGGCTATGTCCCATCAGGAGATTATGCTACATTAATTGAACATTAGAGAACATGTATTGTTTGAAAGCGTTCCCTGGTTGTTATTTAGCATTTTCTCCAATTAAAAAAATTATTTGTAATGTAAAATTTCAAATGTATACAAAGGTAGAAAGAATAGCACTGTGAATGTCCATGTATCCTTTATCCTTGATAATTATCAACAGAATCCATCTTGTTTTATCTATATCTTTACATACTCCTTGCCTTCTTCTGCTCAATCACCCATATACTTAATATATATAAATTAAATACTTAATATATATAATTTTAAACACAATTATATCACATAAATAAATTAATGATACTTTTTAATATCAACAAATTTTTACTCAGTATTTAAATTTTCTCTGTTTTCTCTCTCTCACTCTCACACACACACACACACTACAGTTTCTTTGAATCAGGATTCAAATAAGATCCACATATTGCAGTTGATTGATAAGTCCCTTAAGCATCTTTTAATCTTTGGATTCTCCTCTCAGGTTTTTTTTTTCTAGCAATTTATGTGTTGAAAAATATAAGTCTTTTGTCTTCAAATTTTTCCATAATTAGATTTTGCTGATTGTATCTCAAAAGTATCATTTAACATGTTTCTCTATCCTCTTTCCTAGAAATTGGTAGCTAGATCTAGAGGCTTGATCATGTTCAGGTTCAGTTTTTCCTAAGAATATTTTATAGATGGTGGTGTTTACTTCTATTAGGAAGCATTTTGGTCTGATTGTCCTCATTTTTATAATGTAGTAGTCATTACTGCTTGTGGTCTCGATCTGGGCTTCCCAAATTTTCTTAACGGGTCAAATAGTAAATATTAACAGGCTTCGTGGGGCCTTGGATTCTCTATTGCAGCTACTTAACTTTATCTTTGTAATGCCAAAGTAGCTATAGACAATACATAAGCAAATGGGCAAGCTGAGTTCCAGTAACACTTTATTTACAAAATGGGTGGTGCTGCCTGCTGGCTATAGTTTGCTGACTTCTGATTAAATTTGTTAATTTATCGTGCAAAATGGGGAATTGTAATCTTACCATTCATTCCATCCATATAAATTAAGTGGACTGTACCTATTAAAATAAACTTTCATCAATTATTTGGTTATCCTTAAGCATAATTCATGTAAGAAAGATGGTTTAAATGCTTGATTCTTTTCTTTACCCATTTTCAAAATAATTAATTGCTTTACTAATATTCTCTAAAAAATATAAGAGGAAGATTTTATTGTTGCTGTTTGGTATCATTAACTCAAGGATTCATACATATTTGATATGTTTCACTTCATTGCACTAATTATTTTTATTGATTCTTAAAGTATTTCATCTTTGGACTCATGAGCTTCAAAAAATTGTCTCTGACTCTTTATTATTTGATAGCTCTCATGGATTTTTGGAATTTAAAATGTTCCTTGCTCATCTAGTACATTTCTTGGCCCAAATAAAGAATTGGCTATTTCTTTCAGGTGCCTAGGCTCTTTTTAGTAGGAGGTGGTATTTATAGACTATAATATAAGCACTAGAATGCTCATTGCTGTTGAGTTGATCATTCTTTCTAGGTTTTTTTGATATTGAGATGTAGGAAAATAAAGTCGTTAGTTTATATTAATACTTCCTACTAAAATTCAGGACATTTGTTTTTTTAATGATTTTATCTTCAGTCTCTTAAATCTGTATTGCCTTTGTACCACCGCAAAACTCTAGTTTTCCATGTCACTAAAAATCATTAGTTTTATTCTACAATACATATATACAAGTCTCAGAATAACCATACCAACACTACCACCATTATGAGACCTAAACAATGAGTTTTTTGTAATTTTTTGTCTTATCCTCAGGAAAGTCTAATGATGTTATAAGGTCATTTGCATTAGTTTTTCTCTAGGTGGCCATGCTGCCAACTTGATATAAACTTAGATTCACTTGTTTAATTTTTAATATTTAAAGATTGCTTTTTTAGCCTGGTCAGTGTGGCTCAGTGGTTGAGTATCAGTGCACATGCCTGGATTGTGGGCTCAATCCCCAGTGTGGGGCATGCAGGAGGAAGCTGATCAGTTGAACCTCTCTCATCATCGATGTTTCTATCTCTCCCTCTCCTTTCCTCTCTGACATCAATTAAAAAAATTTTTTAATCACTTTTTTAAAATGTTGCTTTATAAATACATAAACGATATACATTGTTCTTAAAGTCAAATTTATAAAATAAAGTATATTCAGAGAGATTCCCATCATCCTATTTCTTTTCTTTGCCATAGGTAACCAGTTTCTTTGACTTTTATGGTTTAAACTCCATTTTTAAAAATATAAACAAATATATCTGTGTATGCATGAGGGTGTACATACATAGATATGTAACCTCCACTCTCTTATATAAAGGACAGCATTTTATGCATACTTTTCTCAACTTCTTTTCTTTCATTTAATGATATGTCCTAAAAATGACTCCTTAGTAGTTTGGAGACATACTTCAATCCTTTTTATAACTGCATGGTATTAGATTTTTCTCAACCTACTTTATGAATCACTATTTAGAAGTATCTTGAGAGGCTATTAAAAATATAAGGTCCTAGGGATGGTGATGATCATAAAAATAAAAATATTTCCACAAATTCTCTAGAAATGTACAGATCAAGTAGGAGAGTAAATCAAACCACCCATAACTCATGTCCAGATATAAGTAGGAGTCAAGAATATCACAAATTTCAATTACATGTTATAAAAATATCTGAAACCAGTACAGTCAGTAACAGATCCATACCAAAAGGAAGTGTTTTATGTAGGTGATAAATGCATAAAAAAAAAAAAAAAGAGGACAGTGGGGGTTTAACCTAGCTAAAATCACCCCAGAGAAATATAGTCCCATTCAGAGAGGGAAATACTGAGAACACAGCTAAAACCTATTGGATTAGAGCAGTGGCTATTAGGGAAGCAGAAGGGAGTGAATTGAAAGTGTAAAGAACTAGAGAGAGCAGTCTTGGGAAGATAACTACTTTAGGTGGGGAAGGACACATAATTCTGAAGAAAAAAAGGAGTAGCAATATATACAGGAACAAAAAAGAATCATAAAATCAAAAAATATACCAACCCTCCCATCCCAGCCCAAACAGGCTCATCTACTAAAGAAATTATATTTCCCTATGCTAACAGAAATACTCTAGATCCCTGCCAAAACAGAACCTTCTGTTTTTGCTGGTCCAGGAAAATATGACACTTTAAATGATTAGTAAACAGCAGTCAACATCTGAAAAAGTTTCTATGTGAAAAAAAGAAAATAAAGGTAAAACTATTTTAACTATTGAAAATCCTCCTGCTTAAATCAATGACTGGACAGAGGAAAGCTGTTGTACAACTCAAATTCAATTAAACAAGTATTGACAAGATAGGAAATACATTGAATCATAGTCAAACTAGAAATGCACAATGTAATCACATAAAAGATGTGAAAATAGAATTTTCCAAACTCAGGAAAAAATTGAAAAAAGGATAAAATAATCTCAATTGAAGACTTAATTCCCAGGTACTTGGCTTAGTTGATCATTCCCATAAGCCACGGTTGCGGGCTCAATTCTCGGTCAGGGTATATACAAGAATCAACCAGTGAATGCATGAATAAGTGGAACAACAAATCAATCTCTCTCTTTTCCCTCCCCCTTTCTTTTCTCTCTCAAATAATTTTTTTTTTTTTTAAGTAGCCCCTGGCTGGTTTGGCTCCATCGATAGTGTCAGCCTTTGGATTAAAGGGTTCTGGGTTCAATTCCGGTCAAGGGCACATGCCTGGGTCGTGGGCTCAATCCCCAGTAGGGGGCGTGCTAGAGGCAGCCAATCAATGATTCATTATTTTTAAAATATATATATTTTATTGATATTTTACAAAGAGGAAGAGAGAGGGATAGAGAGCTAGAAACGTCGATGAGAAAGAAACATTGACCAGCTGCCTCTTGCACACCCCCTACTGGGGATGTGCCCGCAACCAACTTACATGCCCCTTACCGGAATCGAACCTGGGATCTTTCAGTCTGCAGACTGACACTCTACCACTGAGCCAAACCTTTTTCGGCTGATTCTCTCATTATTGATGTTTCTTTCTTCCCCTCTCTTTTCCTCTGTGAAATCAATAATAATATATTTAAAAATAAAAAAATAAAATAAAAATTAGGGAAACACCAAATACTTTTTATAAGGCAGGTGGAACTTTGATATATAAACTTGATTTCAGCACGTACAACACACAGTCATGTATGAATGTTGTTTTAAAAATCTTAAATAAAATATTACAATTAGAATTCAACATATTAAAATAATTCATAATGGCAAAGTAAAGTGTTTTT